CGTGGTGCAAGGGAAGAGACTGTTAGGAAGCAGGGGCCGCTGTGTGCAGCCGCCTGGGATAAACAGAAAGGCACAGACTGTCTTTCCAAAGGGGACCAAGGCTGGCACAGTGTGGGGAGTTTGACAGAAACCACACCCCCATTTCTCTGAGAGACCCACCCTGAACAATGAAGTAAGTCAACAGTAATACACAGCTTTGGATGAATAAGGGAAATGTGCGTTTCCATAGACACTTGAGGGATTTTGCTAATCAAAACTTGATTTTTTTTCCTCCGCCCCTTTGAAAATTATTCAGATGTTTGTCACGAGATAGGTTTGAGAGCTCCAAGTTGGGAAATTCCCAGAGGTTTGGGGGGGGGGGGTGGAGCCAATGGAGGGCTGGGTTTGGGGAGGGGAAGACGCTCAACAGGGTATAATGCTCTACAGTCCACCCTGCAAATCTACCATTTTCTCCTGGGGGAGCTGACACCTGATAAGTTGTACTTCCGGGAGATCTCCATATGAGGAAGAACTTTCTGAAAATTAGAGTGGTTCCTCAGGGGAACAGGCTTCCTCGGGAGGCGGTGGGCTCTCCTTCTTGGGAGGTTTTCAAGCAGAGGCTAGGTGGCCATAGGTGGCGATGCGGATTCTGTGAACTTGGGCAGATCACGAGAGGGAGGGCAGGGAGGGTTGCCTCAGGGCTTAGTTCTCGTGGTCCTTTCTTACATGCCCAGGGAAATGCCGATCACCACTTTGAGGTCAGGAAGCAATCCTGGAGGTTTCTTGGTGTAGTGGTTAAGTGTGCGGACTCTAATCTGGGAGAACTGGGTTTGATACCCCGCTCCTCCACTTGCACCTGCTGGATGACCTTGGGCAAGCCGTAGTTCTGACAAGAGCTGTTCTTGAAAAAGAGCAGTTTCTGTCAAGAGCTTTCTGTCAGCCCCACCCACCTCACAGGGTGTCTGTTGTGGGGAGGGGAAGGGAAAGGAGATTGTAATCCGCTCTGAGACTCCTTTGGGTAGTGAAGGGCCGGGTATAAATCCAATCTCCTCCTCTTCTTCTTCAAACAGGCTCAACATCTAACCAATGAGCGGGTGGGGCCAACTGCCAAGAGAGAAAGATAATTCCCTTAACCCTTTTGGTCCCAGATCTGCTTGCATGCAGAATTACAATATCCAACATTCTGGGTCCCACTGGGAGGTTAGTAGCCCCACCGCAAGCAGAAATGCCCAAATTCAACTTTTTAAAAATATCTCACGTTAGGTGAAATTCTGGGGCATGCAGAATCCTCAGAACTGTTTCCTCGAAAATCCTTCACAGATTTCGCCAGATTTAGGCGAGATTCGGCAGGAGATCTAACACGAATCGTCCAGAGAAGCATGCGCTTCATACCTTTACTATTCAAATTCAGTCAGGATCACCCATTGACAGCATCGTTCTGCTCCCTGGAATTGTCTGGAGAAATCCCAGAATTATTCTGGGGTTCTGCTTTCGACAGTGCAAGTAGCCGCACTCTCCTGGGACACCAGAGTTATTTTGCGAAACAGGAAAGGCAGGTTACACATTCTCTTAGCACAACACAAACGCCAGTTGAATTTAAGGCCCTCTTAAAAGGGCAGCCCATCCTTCCGTTCCTTTCTCATTTTTCACTCCTCTGACAGGGTAAACAGAACAGCAGTTAAAGAGGAGTGACGTGCTGATGCCAAAGCAGCTAATTGTATGGGCATGGTCTGAAGATTCCAAATGTGCCATTCTGCCCTTCTAGTGACAAAGAAGGGGGCCACGCTGAAGGGAACCTCCACGTTCAGGGGCAGTCAGCCTCTGAATCCAAGAGCCAGGGGGCAACATCAGAGGAAGACGTTTGGCCTCTATGCCCTGTTGCTGGACTTCCAGAGGAACTGGTTGGCCACTGTGTGAGACATGATGCTGGACTAGATGGACCACTGGTCTGATCCAGCAGGGCTCTTCTTATGTTCTGATGAAGGCCTCAGCCTCTCTGCCCTGTTGTTGGCCCTCCAGATGAACTGGTTGGACACTGTGTGAGACAGAATGCTGGACTAGATGGACCACAGGTCTAATCCAGCAGGGCTCTTCTTATGTCCTTGAGATCAAGGGAAGGCCTTGGCCTCCATGTCCTGTTGTTGGCCCTACAGAGGAACTGGTTGGCCACTGATTGAGACAGGATGCTGGACTAGATGGACCACTGGTTTGATCCAGCAGGGCTCTTCTGACGTTCTTATGAAGGTCTCACCCTCTATGCTCTGTTGTTGGCTCTCCAGAGGAACTGGTTGGCCACTGTGTGAGACAGGATGCTGAACTAGACAGACCACTGGTCTGATCCAGCAGGGCTCTTCTGACGTTCTTATGAAGGCCTCGGCTTCTGTGCCCTGTTGTTGGCTCTCCAGAGGAACTGGTTGGCCACCATGTGAGACAGGATGCTGAACTAGACGGACCACTGGTCTGATCCAGCAGGGCTCTTCTTATGTTCTGATGAAGGCCTCAGCTTCTATGCCACGTTGTTCGCTCACTGGAGGAACTATTTGGCCACTGTGTGAGACAGGATGGTGGACTAGATGGACCACTGGTCTGATCCCGCACGGCTCTTCTTATGTTGTTGTCATCAGGGGAAAGCCTCAGCTTCCATGCCATGTTGTTTGCCCTCAAGAAGAACGGGTTGGTCACTGTGTGAGATGGGATGCTGGACTAGATGGCCAACTGGTCTGATCCAGCAGGGCTCTTCTTATGTTCTGATGAAGGCCGCAGCTTCTATGCCATGTTGTTCGCTCACTGGAGGAACTATTTGGCCACTGTGTGAGACAGGATGCTGGGCTAGTCTGATCTAGCAGGGCTGGTCTTATGTTCTTAAGTGCCCGTCAATGGCAAACACTAGGTAAGAACAATCTGCTGAATTGTACAGGTGCATATAAATTCTCGGTCACAAGAGTATGCAGCCATTCAGTGTGTCATGTGCTGGTTGCTTGCGGTGGTGGATTGGACAACCATTCTTGCTTATGGCATTTCAGCATGCTGACGACAGACGTTGTCAGCACACAACAGTTCGTGGTAGTGGAAAATGCCATCAAGCCACGCCACAGCCAACATAAGGCGACTCCCTAGGGTATTCAAGGCAAGCGACATTATGAGGTGGTTTGCCATTGCCTGCCTCTGCACAGCGACCCCGGGCTTCCTTGGTGGTCTCCCATCCAAGTACTAGCCAGAGCTGACCCTGCTTAGCTTCCGAGATCTGATGAGACTGAGCTAGCCTCGGCCTTCCAGGTCAAGGCAAGAGATGTTCAGTGGTGGTTTGTCATTGCCTGCCTCTGTGTAGCAACCCTGGACTTCCCTGGTGGTCTCCCATCCGAGGACCAGCCAGGGCTGACCATGCTTAGCTCCTGAGATGTAATGAGATCAAGCCCACCTGGGCCATCCAGGTCAGGGCAGGTGAACAGAGGTGGTTTGCCATTGCCTGCCTCTGCACAGCGACCCCGGGCTTCCTTGGTGGTCTTCCATCCAAGTATTGACCAGGGCTCACCCTGCTTAGCTTCTGAGTTCTGATGAGATCCAGCTAGACTGGGCCATCCAGGTCAAGGCAAGAGTTGTACAGAGGTGGTTTGCCATTACTTGCCTCTGCACAGTGACCAAGACGTCCTTGGTGGTCTCCCATCCGAGTACTAGGCAGAGCTGACCCTGCTTCGCTTCCGAGATCTGATGAGACTGGGCTAGCCTCGGCCTTCCAGGTCAAGGCAAGAGACGTTCAGAGGTGGTTTGCCATGGCCTGCCTCTGCATAGCGACCCCGGGCTTCCTTGGTGGTCTCCCATTCAACCAGGGCTGACCCTGCTTAGCTTCTGAGATCTGATGAGAACGGACTAGCCTGGGCCTTCCAGGTCAGGGCAAGAGATGTTCAGAGGTGGTTTGCCGTGGCCTGCCTCTGCACAGCGGCCCTAGTGGTCTCCCACCCAAATACTAACCGGGGCTGACCCTGCTTAGCTTCTGAGATCTGAAGAGATCGGGCCAGCCCGGTCTAACCAACCAGTTCAGGGATTCGTAAGGATTTGGTGAAGAGAGGAAAGTAATTCAAACAAGTCTTTCGTTTCGGGTCCCACATCAGAGAAGCCATTTTTTTTTTGGCAGTAGGTTCATTGGCATGCCGTAACTGTGTCGAGCATTCGTGGTCTGGCATCAAGGGTGCATTTCAAATCATGTTGGGCTCCGAGAACTCCAGGATTGTTAAATTCCTCCTTTCTAGTAAACAGCCTACTGTATTGTGCCCCGGAGTGGTTGAGGCGCTGCCCAAGGAATGCGTCTGAAAACAAACAGGAGTTTAACGACTGCACCCGTAAGTTGTGCCTTAAGTCACACCAGTCACGGCAACGCATGCGTGTATCCGAGTGCTGTTCCAGTTGCACGTCTGGGCTGGAGTTAGCGGGGGGAAAGGCAGCCGTCTTTCTCTAAGGATATATATTTTTTTGTTTTGCATAAAAAAAGGAGCCAAGGACTTATCTCGAATGTCTTGCCTTCTGTTGGGTCATGCGAGGGGGAAGAAAAAAAAGAAATTCATTAGTGTACAGAAATTTGCAAGTGCGGCTCTTTCTGTTTTGATTGGCCCAGGGCGGACCAATCAGTTCCTTCCTTTCATTTAACTTGCTCTTATGCTCTTGCCAAGCTCGGGCTCCCGGCCACATCGCCGTCTGCATAATCCTGCGGCTGCTCCTCTCCTCACTGCCTGTCTCTTTCAGTGGTGGCAGCAGCAGCAGCAGCTGCAGCAGCTGAACTCTCCGTCTGTTGCTTAACCTGACCGGCCCAGGATGCGACTGCTCCGTGACATCACAGCCAGATGTTTGGCAGAGCCACGCACACGCATGCCCCACGCACTGGGGTCTGAAATAATCTGAGGAGCACTAACGGACGGGACGGGTTATGCTGTCGGGCATGTGGCGGGAAGGCTGGAAGGGCCGCCGGCTTGTTGTCGTAGACGACCGTCATTAATTCTGTTCCGAGCAACAGGCTGTTCCGGATGGGGTTTTGTATTGCTTTATTCTTTCACTGGCTGCCTTTCCTCTTGAGAAAGAGAGAAACTGGGTGTGACCCTTGCTAACAAAGTACTTCTCTGGGCGCTGTGAAACTTAGAAGCACGGTGCGTGGAGATCTACAGGTGTTTGTGGTTGTCTTTCTTTAAAGTGAGTGCCAAAGGAAAGGCTGCCGTCGACTGGCACGCCAGAAGAGGCGTGAAAAAAAATGGCAACTGCTGCCCAAATTGCGGCCGAGTGCCTTGTCTCCATGTCCAATCAGGCTATCATCCACAGCCCCCCGGGAGAACTGACCCTCCGACCAGCCGTGATGGCTTCATCTCTCACCATCGCAGCCCGGGACAAGAAATGCGAAGGGAAGGACTCTGGAAAAGACAACCCAGGTGGAGCCTCCATCTACGCTGTGGCCAGCATTCTAGCCGACCTCAACCGGCATGTTCCAAAGCCTTCGCCCCCCAAGTTGGAGAAAGCAGAGAGCGCCAACAGAGGGGAGAGGGAAAACCCTTTGCTCCCCTGTGAAAAGTTTGGAGAAGAAAGTATCTTGCCGGCCGGCAAACGTGGAGGAGGGAGAGCGGCCACACCTACCAGCTTGGCAGCGACGAACGCACCGAGCCCTAAACAAAGGAGCAGGAGAGGGCGATGCCGGCCTGACCCTGAATTACCTCAGAGAAAGCATAAATGCCACTATGAGGGGTGTGAAAAGGTTTATGGCAAGTCTTCCCACCTGAAAGCTCACCTGAGGACCCACACAGGTTAGTTACGGGCTGGCCTGAGGGTTTACCTCTAACAGCATGGTGGGCAGGGGGGACAAACTGGCCAGTGTGAGGACCAATGCTCCCTCTAAGCTGTGGGGCTTTTTGAGCAAAAAACTGTATTTTGTGAGCGACCGGCATTAAAGTCGTGAGCCAGCAATTTGACCGCTGCATAAATTAGTTTGCTCTGGAGCCGACCTTCCTGAGCGGAGACGACAATGCGTGAGCCGGAGGCTGAAAAACGGTGAGCTAGCTCACACTCACTCAGCTTAGAGGGAACACTGGTTAGGACAACATACTTACAGAACTGAGGTGTAGTGCAACTTACAGTAGCGACTGTAAATGTGCTAGAGCCCAATCGAAGTTTCGTCACCAACAAGCTTTTCGGGGTACAAACGTTCGAGCTCTGCTTTGACTCCCGAAAGTTCGTTCCCCGAAAATCTTGTTGGTCTGTAAAGGGGCTACTGGAATTGAACGTAGCTCTTCTACTGTAGACCAACATAGCTACCCTTTGAAATTGTAAATGTGGAAGCTATCCTCATAACCTATTTTGCTGCTGGAACAGGTAATTCGGCCAAGAACATCCACAACTGACACAGCAGTTCCTAGTGGGCCACCCTCCTTCCTCACTGTCTCTGCTACTGCCGCTTTCTAGCCCATTGCCCTATTTCCAGGCACTGTTCGAGGGTCTCTGCTTCCGGTCCTGCCTTAAAGTCGGCAGAGCTGCCGCGTTCTATGCCAAGCGAGTTTCTTAAAAACAATGTTGAGGTTACTGGGTCTCGTGGCGATGTTTGCAAGTTTGCCTCTTTTGGTGTCCTCAGCTGTGTTTGTGCGACGTTTGAAGGACACAGCATAATTTGCTTTGTTCTCGTTAAGCCGCCCTGAGGTCAGCTTTGGTCGAAAGGCGGTCTAGAAATAAAATAGAGAGATGCATTTGTTAGTGGCTTCAGAGGGCAGCCGGGTAGGTCTGCTGTAGGAGAGCCAGATTCGAGTCCCGCAGCACCTTAGAGACCAACAGGGTTTTCAGCTTAAGAGCTTTTGAGAGCCAAAGCGCCCTTCATCAGATAACAATGCATTTCCACTCAAAGCACCCGAATGTGGTGCCTTGCCTGAAGACAGTTTCAGAGCATAGCCATGTTAGTCTGCAGTAGAAGACTTAGATTCGAGTCCAGTAGCTCCTCAGAGACCAACGAGATGTTTGAGGTAGAAACTCTCGAGGGTCAGAATTCCCCTCATCGTATCTGACTTGAATCTAGCTCGTTTATAAGTGGGAGGGGCTTGAGGTGGGGAGCGATTGCTATAGAAAACAAAGCGTATACCGAGATTTCCTGAGACACTGGCAAATGATCTCTCTATTCCTCCTCTTCCATCAACGGGGAGAAACAGAATCCTGGAAATGTGTTAACCACGCTAAATGAATGCTAACGCGAGGAAGTATAAATAGTGTGGCCACCTTTTAACACCTACCAGGGCTGTGGCTCATATTCATATTTGTTGAGATCGAGGAAGATATGGATCAGGGTGCCAGGACGCAAGCAACAAAACCCCTTGAGGCTGCTTTTCAGCTTACACGACCAATGAGTGGTAACTGGATTTGTTCAGGTAGATTATTTTGTCTTTGGACAATTGTAGGGCTGGCTGGCCCCAAGGTATTTCGGCACACTCTCTCTGGTCCTTTCCGCACTAGACCTTAAGTCCTGGTTCAAACCTGTCCCCGAACTTACATTCCACACTACTTGCGAGTTCACCCCTGTAATTATCTCGGGGTCTTTTTAAATTCTACACTACACTCGAGTTCACCCCTTTAATTATCCCAGGGTATTTTTTTGTTTCCACATTACCTTGTAGTCACCCCAGTTTCACCCCACACTTATCCTGGGATAAACAGATGCTGTTATAACCAGGGATAAATGCAAGGTATTGTGTCCCAAGTTGAACTCTGATAAAACCAGGGATGAGATCCAAGTGTGGAAAGGACCTCTCTCTCAATAAACTGACACTGGACATGATCCATTTAGATCATGTGGGAGTACACTGGCCCCCTTGTTCTGCTCCTAGTAATTTCAGTGGGGGTTGTGTGGGACAATTCCAGGGATCCAAGGTACTCTGTTGGTTACTCGCTCTGCCATCTTTCATTGTCCCCCAAATCTGATGCCTTTCACCTTGCCCTAGAGAAAGACTGCTTCTAGTTGCCTTCCCCAGGTGCCCACCCTGGCTACAGTACGGCATATGAATTAGGGTTGGCCTGGGTAAGAAATGTCACGAGTGTTGAAGTAATGTTGTGCACAGGACATACAATAGTCCCTTGGGACGGTGTCTCCAACAGCTCTAACATTTTTATTCAGAAGTACTGTAAGTCCCTTTGGGTGGAAAGGGCGTAACTTCCAAGCATGCATTCTTCGAATCGTGGCTTTCGCCCCCCTTCCTTGCCGTAGCTTTTATGTTTCATGGAGGATATTTACTCCCTCGCTTGCCACTCGAACTTGGCACAGCATCCGTGACTCACGCCCGACAATGCTCTTGCCCAAACTTCTCCTTTGCTTCCTTTTAAAACACAGAGACAAAAGGATTTTAAGCTCATAAAACTGACTGGAAATTTAAGCAGAGGAGGCAGCTGGGGAGGGGGGGACTCCTCTCTTTGATGCCGAGAAGCTGGGCTGGGCGGCTCAGCCTCTGGGGAGAGGGAGGGAAGGAACAGAGGCCGCCAACGTCATTCTGGAGTGGGCCGGGGAGTAGGAGTCGTTCAGGGACACTGGCTCCCAGCCACACTCTCTTTGTTATTAGTATTTCAAAAATCTTAACCCTCCACTTCCCTCCTTCCGCCTGGACTGCAGGATTTCATCAGGCTGTTGGCACAGCGAGTGGAGGCGGGCAAGGTGGGAAGCAGAGACGGTCATGGGTCTCTTAGGCAGGAGTGGCAGGATCCCCAGGGCTTTGGGCGTCTTTGTTTAACCGTTTCCCCTCAGGCGAGGAGTGAGAAGAAAACACGCCTTCCAAGGTGGCAAGAAGAGGAAAGCTCTCTCCGTACAGTGTGAGAGAGAGGCTCAGATGTAGAGTTGCCAGCTTGGCCATGGGAAATTCCTAGAGAGTTGGGAGCAGTGCCGGTGGAAGGGGGAGTTTGGGGGGAGGAATTCTGTCCAGAATCGATGGTATACCATAGAGTTTGGCCTCTGAAGCTGCCATTCTCTCCAAGAGCAGGGGCCTCTGTAGTCTGGAGATCAGTTGTAATTCTGGGGGAATTCTGAGTCCCCACCTAGAGGTTGGAAACTCTACCAAATGCATTTAACCAAACCCTCCATGACAAAGTATTTACAACAACATCCAATGACTTCCCTTAACTCCAAGTCACGCCACAGCGGTGGCACGCCTCTGCGAGAGCAGGGAGAAAACATTGTCAACTGCCGAATATATTCAGGTTTCCCGACTATTTACCCGAATCCCAATATCATACCGATATTGGGATTCGGGGATATTGGGAAATACTGATATTTTTCAGGTCTAATGGACCCGAATCCGGAAAAAGCTGATTTTTTTCGTGCACACCCCTAGTGTGAATGTCCCTCCCTTCTTTTGAGTATCCCAGGAGGCCCACACAAATCATAGCAGCTCTTGCCAACAGTCAGTAAAGGAAAGCGGGAATACTTTTAGTAGCCCCAAAAGTTCTTAATAGGGAAGGGAAGGGACGGGATCATGTTCCCTTCCGGACTTTTCCCATGGGGAGAAACATCCCCAATTCAATGTTAGTGACATGAAGGACAATCAGACAGAAAGAAATGTTGGGTGAAAGCTGAAGGTTTTCCCACCAAGGACTAGTTTACTTCATGTATTTATAACTAGCCCTGAGCGAGTGATTAAAACAGTCTTCCCTGCTCCATGAAAAAGACCATACAATTAAAAATTCTTTGGAAATTTCCCCATCCTTCAGTGAAAGCCCCTTGCTGGGGTCACCATAAGTTGGAAGCAAAGCAGGGTCGATACTTGGAAGAGAGACCTCCAAGGAAGGCTCTGCAGAGGAAGGCGATGGCAAACCACCTCTGCTTATCCCTTGCCTTGAAAGCCCCTCGCTGGGGTTGCTGCAAGCTGTAAGCTAAGCGGGGTCGGTACTTGGAAGGAAGACCACCAAGGAAGGCTCTGCAGAGGAAAGCAATGGTCAACCACCTCTGCTTCTCCTTTGCCTCGAAAGCCCCTTGCTGGGTTTGCCATAAGTTGAAAGCTAAGCAGGGTTGGTACTTGGATGGGAGACCACCAAGGAAAACTATGCAAAGGAAGGCAATGGCCAACCACCTCTGCTTCTCCCTTGCCTTGAAAGCCCCTTGCTGAGTCTGCTGTAAGCTAAGCAGGGTCAGTACTTGGAAGCTAAGCAGGGTCAGTACTTGGAAGGGAGACCACCAAGGAAGGCTCTGCAGAGGAAGGCGATGGCAAACCACCTCTGCTTCTCCCTTGTCTTGAAAGCCCCTTTCTGGGTTTGCCATAAGTTGAAAGCTAACCAGGGTTAGTACTTAGATGGGAGACCACCAAGGAAGACTATGCAGAGGAAGGCAATGGCAGACCACCTGTGCTTCTCCCTTGCCTCAAAAGCCCCTTGCCGGGGTTACCAGAAGTCAGCTGCAACTTGATGGCACTTGACACACCCACATGAATGGCACATTCCAGTCACCAAATGAAAGCCATTCTATGAGCACCTGTTTGTGTGAAATGGTCCACCAGGTAGATCGGGATTGTTTTCTACTGCCCCTCTGGTGAACACAGCAGTGAAATATCAAAAACTGATCCAATTGGGAGACGAGTGCCTATACCGGTAACAGCTGCCAAACGGATCTATTTAAAGTTGCCTTTATGTGGTGGCTTTAATGTGCAAGTGCTCTGTATAGGAACTCTTCCGACTCTAGCCCAGAAGAGGAAAACATGAATTGGCCCAGTGGATTATGTCTGATGCTGTACAGATTGCCGGTATGTTCTTAATTGCCTTCACGTGTTTCCAGTTTGCTTGCGTTTACACT